GTGTTGCTTCCTCTTCTATGCTCTGAAATAGCTTGAGTAGTACTGGTACAAGCTCTTCTGTAAATGTTTTGTAGAATTCTCCAGTGAAGCCACCTGGGCCAGGGCTTTTTTCGGTTGTGAGTTTTTTAATTACCTATTCAATCTCTTCTCTTGTTATGGGTCTGTTCAGATTTTCATCATCACTGTTGTAGTTTGGGTAGGTAGTGTATTTTTAGCAATTTATCCATTTCCTCTAGGTTTTCAAATTTGTTGGAGTATAGTTTTTTATAATATTCTGTTATAATCCTTTTTATTTCACTTGGGTCTGCTTAATGTCCCCCATTTCATTTCTTATTTGAGTTATTTGTGTCCTCTCCTGTTTTTCTTTAGACATACCACTTTTAAAGAAGCAAAAATAATTCTGACAGAAGCCAGAAAACACTACAACTGTATTTTTCAAGTGCTGAAAGAAAATAGCTGCCAACCTAAAATTCTAAACTCAGTGAAGTAGGCCAAAAAATGACCCCTCAAAAGATATCAACATCAAATCCCTGGAAGCTGTGACTATGACCTTATTTGGGAAAGGGTCTTTGCAGAGGTGATTAAGTTAAGGACTCTGAAATGAGATCATCCTGGATTACGCAGGTGGGCCCTACATCCAATCATTGGTGGGTGTCCTTATAAGACTCACAAAGGAGACAAACAGAAGAGGAAGAAGCGATGTGACCCTGGAGGCAAAGACTGGAGTGACACATGAACAAGGCCATGTCAAGGAATGCCGACAGCTACCAGAAACCAGAACAGGCAAGAAGGAATTCTCTCCTAGAGCCCAAAATAAAAGTAAAATAAAGACAGACATTTTCACAAACAAAAACAAAAACCACTGCCAGCAGACCAAGAGTAAAAGAAATACTAAAGAGAGTTCTTTAGGTAAAAGGAAAATGATACCAAACAGAAACACAGTAATACAGAAAGCAATGAAGAACACTAAAAATAGTAAATGTGCAAATAAATATAAATGAATGCTGACTGAACAAAATAAAAACAGTAATGTCTTAAGGCATGGCACCAATAACACACAAGAAGGGGGGGGTTAAAAATGCTGTAATCTTTGTAGTAACCACTAAAATAGTAATAAAAATTTTTTAATTAATAGAAGGAAAAATGAATAAAAATATATTTGATTAGAAAGTAGTAAGATGGTAGGCAAAAGTCCAATTCAATTACATCAGTAATTACGTTATTCCAATTAAAAGACTAAGTGTTACTGGGAAGTGTTCCCTATTTTCCATTACATGTAAATAAAAGAGAAAATGAAAATTTTTTTAAATTCTCTCAATTTGCTGGTAAGAGTATAAAATAGTGTAAAAGCACTTTCCTTTCTTGTAATGTGAGTTTTTGGTACTGAGGTCATGCTAGCTTCAAAATACTGAAAGCACATAATTTCCTGTATTAAATAACTCCTGGTTAAAAACTCCTAGAATGCTTTCTATTGCCAGTATTAAACACTTACTGATACAGATAGTTTTATAAAAGTCAAAGAGAATAAAAATACCAAAACCAAGAAAACAGGCAAAATAGGTTTAAAGAAATAATAAAGTAAGGAGAAACTACCAAAATTTAAAATTGCTTTAAAGCTACAGAAATTTTCTTTTAAATGTAATTTTAAGACTTGGCTCCCAACTCATGAAAAAGAGCAGAACTCTCCATAGGGTTTTCTTGGCTGCAATCTTTATGGAAGCAGATCACCAGGCCTTTTTTCCACAGAGCCTCTGGGTGGGTTTGAAAGGTCAACCTTCTGGTTAGCAGCCAACTTGCAAACTGCTTGCAATACCCAGGCTCCTATAATTTTAAGATTAACGGGAAAACAACGACAACAACTAAAAAAGTATTTTTCTCCAATTCTTTTCACTAGACATCAGCAAACTACGGCCCATAGACCAAATCCAGCCCACCACTTGCTTTCTTAAAGTTTTACTGGAACACAGCCACACTCCTTCATTTACTATTGTCTACAGCTGCTTTGGAGCTACAAAGGTTGAGTTGCTGCAAGAAGAGATGGTGAAAACCACAAAGCCTAAAATATTTACTGTTCCTTTACATTAAGTTTGCCAATCCCTGCTTTTGACCAAGAATAGAATTTATATAAGTCTCCTCACATCCTTACACAAAAATGGTGTACAGTAGGTGACCAATATTTTATTATACTGACTAAGACTATTAGGTAAAGCTAATACCATAGGTTTTTGACTACTTTCCTGGGTCCTGATCCACTCAAGATCCTCTTCAGCTATTTAACATTCTGTTTAAACTAGCGTTAATACTTTAAAGACTTTAAAAGTAGATTTTATCATTATCTTTCACCAATTCTGAAAAATTCTGTCACTCCTTTTTCTACACTCTCTCTTTTTGATCCTTCTGGAGTGCTTAATTCTCCTCAATCTTCTCATTCTAGCATCTATGTTTCTTAACTGGTCTCCTATTTTTCCCTTCTCCATGTTGTATTCCAGTTTTCTCTTTAGCAGTAGGTTTATCTGCAATTTAACCTGAATTTTGCTCAAATGCCAGTTTTCATTTTTCCACTGTCTTGTTCCTCTCTCATGTTTTTGATTCTTTCTTTTACATCTTCAATTATTCTAAATGTGTTTATATGTGACATGGTCGCTACCCGATGGTTCAATCCTGCAGCCTGTCATGACTGCTGACTCTTACTTGATTTTATTAGTCGTGTTGTTAACGGGCAGAACTTGGTCTGTGGGAACCCCACAGCAACCAGGGTGGAGAGCACATGCCTGCAGAGCAGTTCTGCATGTGCTGCTGCCAAGTACTCCAGGAGTGAGGCAGGCTAGGGCTATTTTTTATATTAGTTTCTCAACTTCTGCACCACCCTGAAGTACAAGTAAAACAAATTGGAACTCTAAACATCCCTGAATAGCTATAAATTCTTAGGAAACATACCTCCCACCCCCCCACCCAGAGCCAAAGCAGAGACCAACTTCCTTGCTGGACCAGTAAATTAATTATTTTGTCTGCCTAAAACCCATTGCTGTCAAGTTGATTCCGACTCATAGCAACCCTAGAGGACAGAGCAGAACTGCCCTGTAAAGTTTCCAAGGAGCAGCTGGTGGATTTGAACTGTCGACCTTTCGGTCAGCAGCCAAGCTCCTAACCACCGCACCACCAGAGCTCCTTTGTCTACATACTCACTGAGAATACAGCCCTCTGAAGGTATCAGATTTACGACGGTCCCAATCCAACTCCCTGCCTCACATCTTCTGTCCCCATGTGGACTATTAAAATTCACTAATAGCAAATGCCCCCAGGACAGGCACAACACTAGTTCCATGGCCAAAGGCACGGGTTATTCTATCATTTCATATTTGGTCACAGATATTTCTCTTACTTTCCTGCAAGCTCAGCTTTTTTAAAATGTTTGTTAAACTTTCTAAGGGTTTTGTAACAACGTGGTTTTAGGGTAATATCAACCACCTTATTTTCAAAACCCACAATGAAGTGGAACATTCAGATTAAAAATTACTACTTGTTCGAAGTCACCAATTAGGACAACCATTTGCTACTCTTGACTAACCAGCTCCTATCCCCCTAATTTTTGCTTCCTCCTTCACAGCCCATGTTTGAGCTAGCTGACTCCACTAACGGTGGGAGATGTGGCTCAGGCCTAAGTTAATCAATAGAATCCCCTGGCCCTGGGACTGGCTCAAGGATGGGTACAGAACGGAAGCTGAGTCCAGTCAGAAAGAATCCCAGAACTCTAGTATGGATAGGGAATAAGTACCCCCACTGGGCCTTCCTGCTGGACAGAGATAAACATGCTCATAGCCCAAGGAGCTGTTGGGAGGTGCTAACCACCATGGAGAGACCACAACAGGGAGAAGTGTAACCAACACTGAGTCAATACTGAAGAAGTAAAGCTTAGACCAAGAAACAGAGAAACTAGATCCTAGTCACAACTGACCAAGCCTTGGGGAAAGCCAGTCGTATTTCTTGATTTTTCGATTCCCAGAGCCAATACGTTTTCTTCCTTGTTTATGTCATTTGGGGTTGAGTTTTTCAATTGAAAGTATTCTTAGTGACATGAAAATGTACTAAGTATTCAAAGTTAAAGAATGAAAACAAAATTATATTTTCTTACCTGGATAACCAATTCCTTTGGCATTTGCATAGGGAACCCCAGAAGATCCAGGGCTATAAACAGGATTCATGATTTCAAGAACTAAAAGGAAACAATAAAACAGTTAGCCAGTGCTGTTGTTCTCAGATTTTTCTCCAGCATCAGTCCCAAAAGAACAAGTAGCAAAAGTCCCTTCTCTAGTCTCCTATAAAACAATGCATTTCATGCCACTGCCAACCAGCAGAGAACAGAAAAGAAACACCAAACATCCTAATGAGCACCCACCAGGACACTGCAAATTTTCCTTTACAATTCTCTTCAGACCATCAGAGCTAAGGGGAAAAAGTGTTCTGTGTCCCTACTTATAGCAGTTAAAAAAAAAAAAACCAGCAAATAACCTAACTGTCTTTGTAACAGAGAAGATGGTTAAATAAACCAAGACAGAGCCAGAGCCTGAACTACTTTGCATCTGCCTTTTCAAAGTGTTTAAAAACATAAGACTGGTATAATGTTAAGTGAAAAAAATAGAGTATAGTACTGCATCATGTGGTATGATCCCAAATTTGCACCTACACATATACACATGGGCACCCATGACACAAACACAGAAAGAAGTCTGGGAGGAAACACATCAAAATATTAACAGCATTTGTCTCTGGATGAAGTGGGTTTAGTTTTCTTTTCACATTTTATTTCCTATAGAACTTCTGTTTAAAAATACATATTAAAAAAAAAATAGCTAAAAACCCAGTTCCTCCTATTAACCCATTCAATATTTTAACATTCATAAATCTTATTTTCTTAAAAGTTCAAGAACTTGCACAGCAACGATTCTACTCCATCCCCAACAAAAATAAGATTTTCATCAGTATCTCCAGCAAGCTCCTCTGAATTTTAGAACCCAATGTATTCTTAAAACATGAGTTTAATTAAGACTATTCAGTGTTCCTAATCTGATAAATTACTCGCTGACTTATATTATCTAAACAATTGTCTGATTTTCTTAAGCTTCTAAACCAGAAGTCAGATGCCCTGACAGCTACAACTACAGTTCAATGGTAAGTCTAGACTGCTGCTGTCCAACAGAAGTTTCCCTGCAATGATGAAAATGTTCTATGCCTGCACTGTCCAATATGGCAGCCAATACCCACATGAGGCTATTGAGCACTCAAATAATGTGGCTAGTAAAGGATGTGATTTTTTATTTTTACCTAACTTTAATCTGAATTCAAATAATCACATCTGTCTAGGGGCTACTACACTGGGCAGTATAAATCTACAGAAAAGATCAGAGAGAGAAAACAAGGATAGAGACTTCTAGGCAACATGGCACTACAGACAGAAGCACCAAGCCATCCCTCCACAGTAAAGATCCAAAAAACTAAGTCAAACAGAGACAAATGTCAATCCTGAAACCCTAAGTATCAAATGAAGAGATACAGAACCTAGCCAAGCACCGAATGGAATAAGAAACTAACAGAGAACAGAGAGCAAGGAGAGATACATGCAGAGCTCCCGTATCAACTAACACAGCACGGATCTGCCATCTTGGGACTCCTATCGGAGAACAGCAAACAGGGGGTACAAGAAAGCAGCTTCACGCAACTTCCAGGAGACAGAAAACTGGTAACCAACAATATACGCTTTCCCACCCCCACCCCCACCTTTCTTCACCCTACTTGGCCTCCTCTGCTTCCTGTGGCCACAGTCTCTTGGGCGGGAAGCACAAGCTTCATCCCGGTGCCGCTTGGATTCCACCCGCCTGCACTGGCCAGCTCCCTGAGTGCTATTTGTTGGCTGCTGGTGTTGCTTTTTTCCACTTCTTTTGATTTCTTCCTTAATCCTCACCACCTCCCCCTCCTTTCTCTCAAATACCTGGCTCCGTGTACCATCTTTGCTTCTTCCTGAAAGGCTGTGAAACACCGCTCGACTGTGAAACTGTTTCCCGGCCTATGCCGCCATGCTGGTGGGATCCCCAGGGCTTTTTTTTGTCTGTTTGTTTGATTTATTTGTTTTCCTTTTCTTTTCTCAGCTTGGGAGCCCCTTCTAGCGGGGCACTACTGCACGGCTTGGGAGCTACCATCTTCGTCTGCGCAGATGCACAGTGGGACCCCTGAGGTCATTTCTTTTTTCTTGTTTTTTTTTTGAATTTTTTTGTTTTGTTTTGTTGTTGATTCTGTTTTGTTTTCTTCTCTTTTTCCCTTCTTGTCTTTCTTCATTTCTCAGTTTCTCATCTATCTATATTTACCTTCTCTTCCTGTCTCCTGAACACTTGACGCTGTGTGACACCTCTACCCCTTCTAGCCAGGCTGTACTTCAAGGCCTGGGAGAAACGTCCCCAGTCCTCCCAGCTGCACTGGTGGGATCCCTGAGGCTTTTCTTTTTTTGCTAACTTTTATTTATTAAATTTTTTCTTTTGCTTTTCTTCTTTTTGTTTTTCTCCATTTCTCAGTCTCTCATCTCTTCACTCCAATGCAACCTCCTTTAGCACTCTTTTTTGTTCATTTGTTTGTTTGTATGTACGTTTTTGGCTCCTGTTCCTCTCTCTCCTGTTTCCTATACGCATCTTAGCTCCACACATCACAACCTCCCCCACTCCTTCCTGCCTACGTGCACCATGCACTGAACATCACACCCCCAAGCAGCACAGGCACGGCCTATCGAACTTGCCCTGCACTGATTCCCAGCCCACCCTGTCAGCCCTAGTACATGCCACAAACAACCCATCCCAGCAACTCCTCTTCAGCTGGACCTGCCCTGCTGTATCACACCTGAGCAACTGACCCTGCCCATTGGAGAAGGAGGCAAAAAGTATCATGCCTACAGACGAGCAAACAACAAAGAACGCACAGCCTGCCTGCTCAGATATAACCAAAATAAAACAAAAAAGCATGATGAAACAAACAAATCTACAGTCAATAAAGGAGGAAAATAAATACTGAATGTCCCAAAGACCGCAGACAATATCAAAACATTTACAAAAACAGGACAGGATGGTTCCAATAGGCGTCCAAAACAAAACACCAGGTGACTTTCTAGTAGAAGAAAAGGCACTAGAACTACCTGATAGGGAATTCACGTCTCTAATATTCAGAGCTATCCAAGAGTTGAAGCAAAAAGCAGACAAAAATGAGGAAAAAATAGACAAATTCACAGAAAAGGCAGACAAATTCACGGAAAATATAGACAAAAAAATGGAAGAATTCAGGAAAATAATAAAGGAACAAAATGCTAAAATAAATCCACAACTAGAAATCATACAAAAACAACAATTAGAAATCCAAAAGATAAGATGGAAGATACGATCAGCGGAATTGAAAACACTTGGATACAACTGTTTGAGTAAAAATCAGAAAAAAGAAAAATGAAGTAACCCTGAGAATTATGTGGGCTACAATCAAAAGCAAAAATCTACAAGTGATCGGAGTTCCAGAACAGGGGGAGAAAACAGAAAACACAGAGAGGATCACTGAAGAACTGCTGACAGAAACCTTCCTCAGTATCATGAAAGATGAAAAGCGGACCATCCATATAGGATAGACCCCAAAAGAAAATCACCACGGCATATCATAATCACGCTCACTAAAACCAAAGACAAACAAAGAATCCTCAGAGCGGCTCACAAAAAACAAAAAGTCACATACAGAGGAGAAACAGTAAGACTAAGCTTGGATTATTCAGCAGAAACCATGCAGGCAAGAAGGCAATGGGATGACATCTAAAATCTTGAAAGAGAAAACAAGGACAGAAAGATAGCAAGCAGGCAGGAGAATCAATTGTATATTTTACCCCACAGTTTAAGAATAAAGAAATTGGTAACTGCCAACTCCTATTATCCTGCACTTTTAAGACATTCTTGGCAATACAGCAATTGTAGAGGCCCTCAAACATTTTATCTACATCTGTGGGTTCAACTATCATCTCTCAAGAAGTGAATACTTTCCAAAACGCTATTTCTTTGTTCTGTGCCAGGATCTAAATTTACTTTCTTCATGAATTCAAAATAAGCAAAACACTATGCAAAGGCCAACAGAAAACTAAACAAGAAGTCACAGTCCCTGCTTGGAGTTTAAGTTCTAGAAAAGTGTTGTCTAAGATAACTTTCTGTGAAGATGGAGATATTATGTCTGCACTGTCCAGAAACAACAGCCACTAGCCAAATATGGCTACAGAACACCCGAAATGTGGCTAGCACAACAGGAACTAAATTTTAATTTAACTTTAATTCTAATTAACTTAAATTTAAAGTCATGTGTGGCTGATGGCTATTGTATGGACAACACAGGCATAGGAGGACTAAGACAAGAGGTATGAATAATGGCAATACAGGGCAAACAGTGTTAAGAACCACAAAAAATAAATAAATAAAGCATTATGAGGGTTGAGTAGGAAAAGTAAATTCAACGGGGGAGCTAAGAATGGTCAGAAAAAACTTAAGGCGGCAATACTTACAATAAGGAGTCCCTGAGTGGTACGAACAGTTAACATGCTCAGCTGCTAACAGAAAGGTTAGAAGAGTGAGTCTGCACAGAGGCTTCTCGAAAGAAAGGCCTGGTGATCTACTTTTGCTAAAACAGCCATTGAAAACACTATGAAGCACAGTTCTACTCTGACACAAATGGGGTCACTATGAGTTGGAATCAACTTAACAGCAACTGGTATTTACAATAAGCCCTAAACAATGGGTAGCATCCTAACTAGCCACAGAAATGAGAAAATGAAAGATGCATTCTAGGAGTATTGGGCAATTTGGTTTATCTGGAGCTTAGGCTACATGTAGAGCACCAGCAAAAGATGATTATAAACATAGATTAGGTAAGAACCATCACGTGTAGACCTCTAAGTGAGGGGCTGAATAGGCAATGTACTCTGAAAGGCAATGAAGCTTATGAATAGCACAGCAGTTAAAGAGTTACTATATGACCCAGCCATCCACTCCTAGGCATACAACCAAGAGAAATGAAAGCATACGTCCACAGAAAAACTTGCACTCGATGTTCACCGCAGCATTATTCACAATAGCGAAAAAGTGGAAACAACCCAAAGAGATGAGCAGATAAACAAAATGTCATATCTACATAATGGAATATTATTGTCATAAAAACGAAGAATGAAGTTCTGATACCCACTATGACATGAGTAAATCTTGAAAATACTAAAGTGAAAGACGCCAATCACAAAAGGCCATGTATTGTATGATTCCATTCATATGAAATGTCCAGAACAGGCAAACTCATAGACAGAAAGTAGATCAGTCATTGCAAGGGGCTAGGGAGAGGGGAGGATGGAGACTGGCTGTTAACAGGCTTCTTTTTGGGGTGATGAAAATATTCTGGTATTTGATAATGGTGATAGATGTACAACTCTGTGAATATACTAAAAGCCACTTAACTGTACATTCTAAAAGGGTGAATTTTATGGTACATAAATTATGTCTCAATAAAGCAGTTACCAAAAAAAAAGAGCAAAATATATATACAATTTCTACAACACAACAAAAAAGACAAATAACTCAATCAAAAAATCAAAAAATGGGCAGAGGACTTCACAGACATTTCACCAAAGAGAATATTCAAACGAACAACAAGCACATGAAGATGCCTACATTACTAGCCATTACTGTTGATGTTCTGTGCCACTGAGTCGATTTTAACTCAAAACGACCCTGTATGACAGAACAGAACTGCCCCACAGGGATTCCTCAGCTGTAAACTTTACTAGAACAGGTCTCTAGTTTTTTTCTCCCACAGAGCCTCTGGTGGGTTGAAACAGCTGAGTGCTTAACCACTGCACCACCAGGAGTCCTTTCACTAGCCATTAACCCATTGCCATAGAGTCTATTCCAACTCACAGTGACCCTATAGGACAGAGCAGAACTACCACACAGGGTTTCCAAGGAGTGGCTAGTAGATTTGAACTGTCGACCTTCTGTTTAGCAGCAGATCTCCTAATCACTGCGGCACCAGGGCTCCCCACTAGCCATGAGGCAGATGCAAATCAAAACTACAAACAGACACCACCTCACCCCTATCAGAATGTCAATGACCAAAAAATGGAAAACAAGTGTTGTCAAGGTTGCGGAGAAACTGAAAACCCCATCCACTGCTGGTGGGAATGCAAAATGGTACAGCCACTGTGGAAAAATTTGACAGTTCCCCAAAAAGTTGAACACAGAACTATCATATGACCCAGTAATCCCAATCCTAGATATATACTCAGAAGCAAAGGCAGGAACATAAACAGAACCCTGTACACCAATGTTCACTGCAGCACTTTTCACAACAGCCACAAGGTGGAAACTGAAATGTACATCAACAGATGAATGGATAAACAAAATGTGGTATACATACACAATGGAATATTACTCAGCCATAAAGAGAAATGAAGTCCTGA